TCGCCGAGTAGAGACGCGATTTCTCATCTGGATTAATGACCGGACTCGACGAGTCGCATTAGGGACTCGGCGAGTCTACACTGTTTAATGAAACCCTAATTTCTTGGGTTTGGGGCCTATTTAAAGGGCCTTATGGCCGTCATTTGTGCTCACCAGCCCCCAGAGCGAAACCCTAGTGCACTTGAGCGTTTAAAGTGAGAAAAGGAGCCATTATCAACCTTGGAGGTGTTGTCTAGCAAGGGAAAGAAAGCTTTAGCCAAGAGGAAGCAAGAAGGTTAACTTCCTGAAGATCTAAGGTCCAGAACATCATATTTGAGTTACTATTTTCGAACCATTTTCTGTTGAGGTGATGTTCATGTTGATTTAGGGTTTATTGAGCCCTTTTGTGGCTAGATCTAGTGCTCCTTTGGTCCCTTAAGCGAGTTAGGTTCTGGATCTGGACCCTTGGAGGTCCAGAGTGTCCCTTTGTCCAAGCTTTTTATGAATCCATGGAGGTTTTGGTTTGGGATCTTTGTGCTTGAGGTCAAAACACCATTTATGAGTCATTAGGTGTGATATGAGCGCCAAGATAGGAACTTTACGTGATAAATAAGCTTAAAAGGACTGGATCTATGAGTTAGTGGAACAGATCTGACCTCATAAGGTCGTTTGGGGTTGTGCATGGAATGCACTCGCCGAGTCCATTGGCAGACTCGACGAGTTGGTGCGGGTTGTTCAGGGATTTCGAACCAGGGGTTGAGTAACCGAGTTGGGTGAGTGACACGGTGAGTCGGAAGGGACTAAGAGGAATCGGGTCCCCATAGAGACTCAGCGAGTCCACGCCAGAATCGGCGAGTTGGGGTTGACCGTTGACCATTGACCAGAGTTGACCGGTGTTGACTTGATAGGGTTAGTCAACCTTAGCTGGGAAAGTGTTAATTAGAGATGTAATGTGTTATAGGAGGACTATAGCTCGGGAGATTGAGCACTAGTGATTTCAGGGATTTACGAGTTACCGAGATACGCGAGGTGAGTCTTTTCACTATACTTTACCTTGAGTAGGTAAATAGACTTATGTGATACAATGCTTATATATATATATATATATATATATATATATATATATATATATATTGTTTGTTGTACTGCATTCTTCTATGTGATTTATGCTGTCGCATAGTTAGAACCTGAGGGTTCCCAGTGTTTGGGTGCACGGACCCACAAAGTTATAGCCTCGAGTGGCTAATATGTGTTATATGTGGTATTTTGGGGAACTCACTAAGCTTCGTGCTTACAGTGTTTTGTGTTATGTGTTTCAGGTTTCTCTCAGGATCACGGGACGACACCAGCTTGATTGTACACACTAGCGAAAGAGTCATGTTTTCAGGATCCTGGTTTATTGTGCATGTGAAAATGGAGTTATGTTTTGTAATTTGATTATGAATGAGATTTTAAGAAAAGTGTTTTTAAGAATTAAACCATTATATTTAAATGAAAAATTGTTTTGAAATTTATGGTGTAACAAGTTGGTATCAGAGCCTTGGTTTGAGGGATTCGGATGCACCTTCGGGTAAATCTGGACTCAAACTGAGGAAGTAAGAAAAGTTTTCAAAGAAATAAATCTTCTAAAGCGAATAAGAGTTCAAAGAGAAAGCGAGAAAGAGCAGTGTGTACAATCAGCCAGAGCCCGAACGGTGATTTTCCAAAATACCATTGCTTCTGTGTTATGAGATCTTTATGATGCACTTTATGAGATATTATTGCATGCTAGAGACAGGCTAGGCATTTCATATCTTAGGACTAGAGTGGCCTGATTTGTGATCCCCTAGCCTAGGAATTGCTATTATATGCGATGTGCTTTTGAGTATGAGATGAGTGAGAATATTTAGTAGGAATCCTTTAGGGGATTTGATTAGAGGAGTAATCTAGGGGAGATACCTGGATGAGTACCGTGGTACTTAGCGAAGGAATAGTTAGAACCGCGAGGGGAAGAGTTGCAGAGTTCGGTGGTACTTTCGAGGATGAGCAGAGCAAGCGGAGTTATCACCCAGAGTGAGTCCTATGTATTCTTCGATGCTCGAATGCTGCTTGCTTCGTGCTTCGTGGAACTCTCGATGATGGGAGTCAGCTACCAAGCTAAATCCATTGAATGTCAAGTTAATATCTTACGATGATAGAGTTTTAATCATTGAATTAAATGACAACTAAATTTGCATCTCATTCAACTTTCTCTTTGAACTCATAATTGTGGATGCTTTTATCTGATACACACATTTACCAGGTACATAACCGGCTACTACTCGATGTGGCATGCAACGTGGTTACTAAACTGTTGGCATTGCTTTATTAAAATGATAATACATTATGATACTTGGTTTTAAACTCATGATATAATATAATATAATGTTTTAAACTCTGTTAATTTTTAGAAGAAAAAAAACATAGGTCTCTCCTTAAGCGAGGGCTTTACTATTAAGTCAACACTTGCGGTTGAAATTAATACTGCCCTTGTACTATCATATATACACACACAAAACATATCGTTATGTATTAGTGTTTTTTATTTTAAACATATCGTTACTATTATGTCAATACTTATGGTTTAAATATGATTTGGGCCAAAATTAGAGCATCTCTAATGATTTATAGGTTTTTGATTATTGATTCTCACTTATTTTTATTAAGTATCATTGGAGTGTCTAGTTTTTTGTGTATTTTTATTGGTCTTTAAATATATATTGAGTGGTCAATATATTATAAAACTTTGAACAACTAACTCCTTCATCTTTATCATATTTTATTTTTAACCCTTTAATTATATTCTAGTTTTAACCATTTTCTATTTTTTACCTACTAAATTATTTCTATCAATAGTTTTTTTTATTTATGGAATGTTTATATACTAATTTCTAATGATAATCTTAATTTAAAATATTTCATACTAAAGTAACTAAATGAGGAGGTTTTATAAAACATTTTAGATAGATAAAGATTAATAATCTTTCAGATTATCACTTTACTTCTCCGTTTCTGTTACAATTTTGTCTGGAGCTTAAAAGTGTTAGCCCATATGACGTTGTGATCATGGTGTTGTCTGGTCCCTTTTTCATGATTCCAAAATTGCAAATCCTAGCCTATCATCCAAAACAATAGAGAGGCATATCGGGTTCTAGATTGTCACAGAACACATGTGCACACTCACTTGATGATTTTTAGATTTGAAAATTTTCGGTTCTAATTTATCTCTTGATACATAACAATAATTGGAGTAAGCTTTAAAAGCTTTTGTTTCTTGATTTCTTACAAATAATTCATTGTTTTGATAGTTATACATACACGCCATAATGAAATTTTTTAAAAAGAGTGATCAACATATATGGTCTAGGGATGGATGTTATGAATGTGATTATGGTGATTAATTGGCTTTATGAGGGTAGCTTATGTTTTCTTTTACTTGGCTGTTTTGATTTTGGTGGCTGTACATTTGATGTTTGAAGTGCTATCAAACTGTTTCATATGGGAGAGTTACATATATATATACATAGTTTATTGTGGATCATCTTATTACATTAAAATAAATATTTTTCATATATAAATTTGGTGGTTCATATAAGTCCACGCATAATAGCCCATTTAGGAGGCAGAGTTTTCCATTTAGAGAGTTACAAAGGAGATTCTGACATTAATATTTTTTCATATGTAAATTTGATGATTTCGTAATTTAATTTTGTTTAATTTTACATATCAAAGCATCGTTCTTAAAAAGTATGTTACATCCGTGAATATGATATTTAACATTTCAATGTCACATGAGTTTTGTTTTACATCATTGTCTACATACAACCATAAATAAACAGGCATGCACACCACTTTGTGTCTATGTGTTTGTGTCCGATTGCTTAAATAAATAAGTATGGTTTTAATAGTTATTATATAAGGTTAGTGTAGATTGAATTAGATATGTATTCATCTTTTCGTTTGCGTTTTTTTGAAAGTTTACATCATGATATTCAACATAATTATTTAAATACATCAATAGTATTTTTATTGGTATAGATTGATGTAATTAGTTATTCATCATTTCGTTTGTATATTTCAAATTTTTATATTAAAAATCCACATGCTCTTGCTTGCTTATAATATGTCGTAGCTTGTGCGAGTAGCATTGCAATAATTGAGCCCATTATAAGCCCATATCTGGTCAGGCTCATTTTGGTGTACTGATTTGAGTTATAAAACCCAGAAAGGAAATTAGGGTTGTTGGCTATACTTAAATGATCCCGACCCCACATCCGTCGGATACGTATTCCGATTAGGAATCCACGGCGGCGGTGGCGATGAAGCGGAGTAGGAGATTAGGAGCCCAAGGCAGCGGTGCTACACAAGCAAATGTAGGAGATTCAAACGACTCAGAAATGGAAGTTGAAGTTCTACCTGCTCACATAAGGGCTCTGAAAAGAGGAAGACATGATGATATTCTAGAAAGAGTGAAACGATTTGCGGAGGCACCTAGTGAGCGTTATGATGATCGTTTTCCTGATCTTCCAATTGTTAAACTTCTTTGGCGAGAACAAGAAAGATCGGCCGGATAAAGAGCTAATAAATCTCAAGGCGGCGGCGCTTCAAAAGATGGCGATACAACGCGGCGGTGGCTCAAAACCAAATGTTGGAGATTCAAACGACTCAGAAATGGAAGGTGAAGCTCTACATCCTTTAATCAGGGATCTGAAAAGAGGAAAAAATGATGATTTTTTCGAAAGAGTGAAACGATTTGCTGAGGAACCTTGGAGTAGTTACGAGGGATCATTTTCCAGATGTTCCAGTTGTTCACTCTTTTGGCGTGAATAAGAAAGATTGGACTGATAAACAGCTTCGAAATCTCAAAATCCTTAGGTTAAAAAAACTCTCGTTGGCTGAAACAGTAACATTAGGTAGAAAAACATTCAAGGCAATACATAATGGAGTATCAAATAAATCTGTAGCATGTTTGATGATCTTAGCTTATAATCTGATAGACGAAAATGGGTCTAGACTCTAGATTAATGGATGAATACGAAAGAGAGCTTGTGGATCTTTCCAACATTGTTGATGTTAATGAGCTCGATGACTACAAGATCACCATAGGAAGCAACAAATCCATGGAGATATATCATAACACAAGTGATTTGAGAAAAGCGATAGGATATACATACCTAGCTTCAAGTTACCTCAGGTTATTCAAAGAATCAGCAGAAAACTACACCAAAAAAGGTAATTTTCTTAAAGAGAAATTCAGCGATTTCTACTCATTTGAAGGGAATTGGAGATGTTTGGAAATAGTTCCTCTCTTCAAATCGACATTGTATGTGATTCTCTACGCCTCTTGTAAAAACACTAATGGAGAAAGTTTGAAGGGGTTTTTGTATAAGACACATCTCAAGTATACGGGTCTCAAATCATATTTGATGTTCCTAAAATGTATGGAGTCTCTACATATCAACAACAAAGACCTTTTGAATCTCATGTATGCTCCGATGTTTAAGCATCAATTGAAGGGAATTGGAGATCTTATGGTTATGGATCATATGAAGGGAAATTATGCGTTAAAGATGTGGAAATTTGGAAGAATTTTTTAGAGAAGTTTCATGAGGATTTTGGAAGAAAAAAATTGTGTGATGTTTGGTTTGGTATTGGCCTATATCTTGATGGAAACAGGAAATGAGTATTTGGAGATTGCACATCACAAAGTCAATGATGCAAGTATTGGTGATAGGAGAGAAGCTTATGCAATTGCATCAACGGTTATCATATTGGCTAAAAGGATTGTGGATTTGTGATTATTGATTAGTAGGATGAAAGTTTTAGGCTTAAGTTTTTCTTAAAAAACACAAAAACTTAGATTATAAAAAAAGAAAAAACAAAAAATAAATAAATGCAGAAAAACCAATGAGAACCATTTGTTTTTAGAAAAATAAAATAAAAAACAAATACAAAAGGAAAGGACCAATAGGGGATGTTTGTTTTAGTAAGTTGTCACATTTTATGATCTTGTTAAATTTGAGCACAGGGGATGTTTGTTTTACGTACTAGTTAATAAAAAATAATGTTTGGTAAAAATTATTGAAATATATTTTCATAAAACGTTTTGGAGCTAGAAAAATGGGATAATAACTTAGGAGGGTAATAAGGTTTCCGGTTTGTCCGTATTAGGTCACTAAGGTTTTTTTTGTGCGTATTAGATCAATATGGTTGTTATTACCGTTTAGAAATAGTCATTTTACTGGTTTTAACCGGTAAAATGACTATTTCTAAACGGTAATAACAACCATATTAGTCTAATACGCACAAAAAAACCTTAGTGGCATAATACGGACAAACTGTAAACCTTATTACCCTCCTAAGTCATTATCCCTAATTATTTAGAAAACATGCTTACTAATCAATGTGACTGATTTGTTTGACTGAAAATAGTTACTTCCATTTAAACTTATCTCACAACCCTTCCAGAACTTCTAAGTCCAAAAACTCATATGATTGATGATCTTCATTACATAAATATGCAACATTTTATCAATAACTTTTTTTTTTTGTCATTTAAATGTTTACATGAACACATCCATATGTACAAAAACAATCTCACTTTGATACCTCCCATAAATGTCTACACTTGATAACGAATGGAAATGTAAAACTAACAGGGACTTGCAGATGATGTCTATTATCAATTATTTTATAAAAAGAAAAACCACAACATGAACTAAGAAGCTGAAGTTGCAAAATGAATAAAAAAATTTGCACATAAACAAACACATACATACTATATACAACACATAAACGGAAGTTTATAAAGCATGAAACTTAATGACTGGAAAAGATAAAAACTTAAAGGAGACTTTATAGAAAGAAAGATCACCCTTACTTGCCACAAATGGTTGAAAACATCAACAAGAAGATCAATCTGACCATAGAATCCACATGTTGTCTGATCATGACTTCAGTAGATGAACTACTGAAACGTAAGAATTGCAATTGAACTCTATTAGCATTTGAAAAGGGAATTAGGGTTCCAAAGAAGACGACGAAGGGTTAAAATTTTTTTTGGACCATTTCTCGATTTTTGTGTGTCATCCTTGCGCAGGGGCCATGCTAATCTTCTCTGTGTCGTTCCAATTTTATCGGATGTCCCCAAAGGGATGACTATAGATGAAGAGCTTCGCCATATATAGGAGTAGCAGGTTATATAGGACGATGTGAGTTCTAAACGAAGTAGTTTACTGTTGATGGTCATATATTCTCAATGTCTTTAAAATTAGGGTTAATGACTTAGGAGGGTAATAAGGTTTCCAGTTTGTCCGTATTATGTCACTAAGGTTTTTTTTTTGTACGTATTAGACCAATATGGTTGTTATTACCGTTTAGAAATAGTCATTTTTACCTGTTAAAACCGGTAAAAGGACTATTTCTAAACGGTAATAACAACCATATTGGTCTAATACGTACAAAAAAAACCTTAGTGACCTAATACAAACAAACTGAAAACCTTATTACCCTCCTAAATCATTATCTCCTAGAAAAATAGAGTACTTTGAAAATCCTGGTTCATAAATAAACTAATAAATTTCCTATCTTAGGGATATTCCCATCAATAGAAAGAAGAGAAAGAGCATGCTCGGCTTGAAAGCAAAGACTTTCGAATAATTAACTCTATCCTAAGCAATAATCAAACAAGAACACTCGGTAAGGTTAAGTAAAAAATTCAAGGCAATTTTTGATTCTAATCATGCATAGCTTTAAAGCATTCAATTTGTTATTCTAATCATGGCAAAAAGGATGCTATTATTCTTACATGCATACTTTCTCATTATAAAAAGATCAAGTACATAATATGGGTATACATTCAACATTTATCCCTTTTCAATCAATTCTAGCATGCAAGTACATTCATCAAATACATATAACTTTAGCTTTTTCTAGCACGCAATATTATACAATTAAGAATTATAGCTCACCCGACTGAATGTCCATCTGGCATTTCTTTCCATTTTAAGATTTGTTTCTTAAAAAAATGTTTTTGAAAATTTTGAGCTTTGGTTTGAGTTCGGACATACATGATTGCATGCATGAATCCCTCAAACCCTGCTCTAGTAACAACTTATAACATACATTTTTTAAAAAAAAAAAAATTGTCGTTTAAATTCTAAGATCCAATAAAACTTAATAATTCTCCCTTAACCAAAAATCACCATTTCTTCATCGACCATAACTCACATACAAGAACTAAAACAGAATATCTGAAGTCTTTTATTTCGAAAACATAAAAACTAAATATATGATATTCAATCATAATTGCGAATGTCTTTGCAGTCAAACCAGATTATTACATATAAATGGGTAAATGGAATGCTTAGTAAACTCATAAATCTATACATTTTACCACATATATCGAAGCATACAACTCATTAATCATTAGTCCTGTGAATGTTATAGTCTAATTATAGTCTTACATCAATCAGAATTTTAGCATACATATCATATCACTCACAAAACATATAGCATCACATATAAAGAAGTGAAACTCGTTTGATAGCAACAATAAACACAATTTATGAATCACGGTAAATAGGTATTCGTGAGGATCGGACGTCTACCAGAACAACCTATAATATACAATCACACCCAGAACCATTCACATGTCATATATACTTGTGTAAGTATGAGTTTTGATAATGTCCAATGGATCAAGGTTTTCATAAAAACCAAGATGAATACGTACCGCTCGAATATCATGTCATGTTCTTGGGACGCGTCATGTTTAATAAATATCCCTCAAGACTTATCAGATCCTTGAGCCCGACACGTCACGTTTTACATCCTTACATGTCATGTTTTATGCAAAAAACCTAAAGCTTAATAATGTTCCCTACGGGGCTTATTCGAACATCAAATGTGCCGAAAAGGACTATAATCTACAAGTCTAATGTGCAGAAAATGTCCAAACTTTATGCAACCATTCTTAAAAATAAAGTCTCATTTTCTTTGTATATGAGGGCCTGATAGTTTTTGAGTTATTTCCGGCCAAGAAACACCACCTCGAGGGTCTAGGGTGTTAAGGACATGATATGAGAGTTCAACCAGCCAGCCCTAAGATCCATAATCTAATCATGCACTCCAAAATAGTTAACACCACCATATCCAATTTTTTAAATAAGACAAAACTCAAAAATTATTTCATTTTTCTTTTCCTTTCCTACTCAACATATCGCTTGATATGGAGTCTCCATCGTCGTCTCTCTAAAGCTTTTCTTCAGTTTTCTCTCTCCCCAAGCTCCATAAACGGTGTTGTACTTATGTGGTATGAAATACGCTACATAGATTTTCAAAGTTTAAGCCTTAAACTCGCTACTCTCTTATTTCGTTACTTGAAAATTCTGCTTTCGAATCCTAAAGTGTTTCCTTTCTTTTTCCTTACCACTCTTGTGTTCCAGGATCCCAAAAGGGGATTAGGGCTTAGTATGAATTTAAAACAAAAAAGGGGAAATACTTGAATCGTGTATCTTAGGGCTAAAGTCTTATCTCATGATATTGCAAGAAACTTTTTTTTTTTTTTGACAACTTTGGTTCCTATGGTTTGGTATAAGACATAATAGTATTTATTACTAGAGGTTTAACATTATATATATATATATATATATATATATATATATATATATATATATATACACACACACACACACGATCATGTAGGAGCTCAAAATTTTGTAGGAACCGTGAGGACAAATATTTGTCGCATGATAAGAATCCTATAGAAACCCAAAAAATGACAGGAATCGCAAGTACAATTGTCCACCACCCATTTCGTCAAATGACACAAACGTCAAATGTAATTTTTAGTTTGTGACGTGCTCACATGTGACACAAGTCCATGGAACGTAATACAAATTCGAGGAAACACATATGACGAACATCATTTAAGTGGTTTTTTTGTAACTTTTTCGAGACATATATACCCGGTTTTGATGCTTTTATATTTTTCTTCATTTTTTTTTATATTTTTTTATAATTTATTCGTTGTTTATTTTAATTTTTTTTGTTTTCTATTATTTTTTTTCGTTTTATTATTATTATTATTATTATTATTATTATCATTTAAAAAAACATTTTTTGATCAGTATATACACAACTTTTATTTATTTTTGCGTTTTCTTTGTTAGTTTGTTTTTTTTAACGGTTTACCACGCCTTTGAAGTTTCTTGTGTTTCTTTTTGTTTTTGATTTTTTACATCATTTTTTTGAATTAAATAATGGTTCGAGTTTTTGATGTTTAAAAATTATGAAAAGTTTTGAATCATAACGATATTATGAATCATACTATTTTAGATCATATTATTTTTGGATCATGAAAAATTGAATCATATCATTTTGGATCATATCATTTTGAATCATATTATTTTGGATCATATTATGTTTTAATGATATAATTTTGGATCATAATATATTGAATTAGATAAAGTTTTTTTTTTTGTTCATAACAACATTTCGTTCATTATATGTTTTGAATTATAAAAGATATGATAATTAAGGATTATAAAATATTTGAATCAAAATATTTTTAGGTCGTAACAAATTAATGATCATA